CCCAGGACCCTGGGATCATGACCTGAGCCGAAGGCAGACGCTTAACGACTGAGCCACCCAGGCGCCCTGAGAACAGCAGTTCTGTGGGTTAGAGCAACAGGTTTTAGAGCGAGAGCCGCTGATATCCATCTGCCTGCAAATACCTCCCCCTCCCCCAAACGTTCTTTCCAATCTCCCATCTGGCTGTTGCCAAGGGGAGACAGCTAGACAAGCTCTCCCATCACTATTCCTAATTTGCCTTTCCCACATCTTCGGTGGGGGCCTTCAGGGTCCTGGGATACTCTGCATGTGGTTATTACTGCAGTATCAGCGCCATGCAGGGGCGGGGGCGAGGTGTGGGGGGGTGAGGGTGGGGGTGGGGAGGGCCTGCCCCAGTATGCAAAGGTGGGGCCCTTTGGGAGGCTGTTGTGAGGGCTGGGGTGAGCCAGGGATGGGTGGGGGGGTGCCACCTACACCTGAAAAGTTCAACCCCCCCCCCCCAGTCATCCCGACCACTAACACACTCTGGACTCCGTGAGCACCTGTGCCCACATGGTGCCCCGGCTCGGCTTGCCCCTCGTCTGCTGTGCCACAGCCCGTCCAGTCCAGTCCATCTCAGTCTCTGCTCTGCTTTGCTCACGGGATGCAGCCAGCTTTCTTCCCTGCAGCCTCTGTCTGCCCATCTGTAAAATGGGGGTGGGGAAGGGAACCAGGTCCTACAATTCAAAGATCTTAAGAACCCCTCCCTCATGTGTTCTGACACCCCCTATTCCTTTTGTCCACTTTCTTTCTTCTGGAAGCAAGGTGTAGGGGGGGAATGGCTTGTGCACATGGGAGAACGGAGTCAAAGGTGAGCTTGAACACCAGCATGAACCCAGGCCCAAGGCTGCAGGCTTGTGAGGCCTGGTCCTGCCCAGCAGAGACAGAGGCCAGCCCTGAGGGACCCCAGGAAGGACTTTTGCACTTCCTGGTGGGCCCTTTGGATGACGTGAATCAGCAGCCGCCAGCGCCTAACCTGGCAGCAAGCAGCACCCCCTTTCCCTTGGGCACACAGCCCAGGCAAGCCAGGCACACCCGACCGGCTGGGCCTCTCCCTGCACCGCTCTGCTCAGCCAGCTCACTGGCCCCACTGGTCATCCAGTGCAAATCCAGGGTCCCGGAGTGCAAATCATCAGGTTGGGACGGTGGTGGGGAGGAAGGGCTTGCTTTGGAGCCTGTGCCCAGGTCTGTGCCCAGATGCCTTCGTGTTCTCATCTGTAGAATGGGGGTAATGGGGACAGCAGGGGTCTCACAGAGCTGTCATGAGAATAAATAGGGCCAATACAAAGGGCCATGCTGAGCACAGGGAGGTCCTAACGGTTGACACCCAGCCCTCACCACAGTAATGGGACAGAACAGCGTGTGCCTGAGAAGCATGAGCAGAGCCCTGCAGTGCAGGGCACAGGGGTGGAGGGGAGATGCCCCAGTGATGGCCGGACCAGGGTGGGCTGGTGCTCATGCGCCTTAGGCTAGGATTACAGCCCTGCCCGGAGCAGGAGACTTTGGGGGCCCATCACATTTTTGGAAATGTTTGCTGTGACCTGAATTAAAATGACGAAAATTATTGCCCAGATGCAGTTCCTGGCCCCTACTTTGGGTTCCTGGAGGTAGAAGGGGACCCCACAGCACATCTTTAAGGGGAGAAAAGCTCTGCAGGGGACCTGGGGTTCTCAGGTGAACCTCAGCGATCAAAGCGGAGAGAGTAAGGACCCTCCCCAACCCAAACCCACCCAGGGAGGCTCTGGCTCAGTCTGTTTATGGATAGGGGTTCAACACACGATCTCATTGTAAAGTTTCCGGTAGAAAGTTGAACACAACTGAGCTATTGCCTAACTTTAAAATGGAGAAACTGAAGCCACCCAGAGAGGGAAAAATCAGTGGCCCAACGCCACACAGCAAACTGAGATTAGAGCTGGTGCGGCTAGGCTTGTTCTGCTCGGTTATACCATCCTCTGGTGGGTCCGCGGAGCCACAACTAGAATGCGTGCTCCTAAGTCCAGCCAGGTCTCTCCATAGGCCCCTGGGTCTTCCTGACTGGCTGGCACTGTTCTAAGAGTCCAAAAGCAGGTCTGTGGTCTCAGGGTGGCTGGCTTCTTTCAGGCCCTCAAAAATCCTGGGTGAGGGGTTGTAGGTGGGCCCAGGGGGTTTCCACGGTCTGGGAGACACCTGCCTGGGCTCCAGTGAACAGCACATTCCTCTCCCCAGTAGTGCTGGAGCTGGACTGCAGCCCCCAGGGACCCTGTCCCCCCACCCCACCCTGCTTCTAACCCCCACCCTCAGCCACATCCCTCATTAGCTGGGAATGAGCCCCTGAAGGGGCAAAGGGACCTGGGAGACACTTTAATTATGCTTCTAATTGCTTCCCAGGGAGAATGAGCACAAGCCCAAATCTCTCTGTGGCTGCTTGAGGCAAGGGGCAGGGTTTCCAGAAACTCAGCCACACCGGCCCCCAGGTGGGAAGGAGGGTGAGTGGAGGGGAACGTGGGGGGAACGCGGGTGTGGGCAAGGGAAGGTGGTGAGGCAGGAGCTGGGCCAACAGGCGGGAGGGGTCATGAGGTCCCCACCCAGGACAGACTCACTCCCCAACCTCACCACCTGAAGGAAAGAAGCTTCGAGGCACCCGTGAGCAGAGAGGTACAGGGTTTTAAGTCCATGATGTTCGGATTCTACTACTTCGTGACGTGGGGAAGGTGGCCACGTGGCCTCTCGAGCACATTCCTTCTATACAACAGGGACAACAGTCCACCTCGCAGGCCACGAGGCTGGACAGAGAACAGGCTGCCTGGAAAGTCATTTTCCAGGTCAGACAGTACAAAGCTGAGAAAGGGACGGCAGACCCTTTCCCAGCCGTGGCGCCTGCTGTGCCCCGGGGATGACCGCTCCCATGTATGTGGGCACCTGGGGGCTTGGGGGGGACACAGCCTCCCCTGGTTTAGTAACAACTTTGCCAACCCCATTGCAGTGACTAGGTCTGCAGCCCAGCCCCGTAAGAGCGGCAGGATTCCTGTATCACAGATGAGCAGCTAAGGGACTAAGTAGCCAAGGGCCCCCAACTGGGAAGTGGCGGTGGGGGGGGGGCACCACAATCCCAGAGCCCCCAAGGCCTGCCCAGGCAGACGGGCATATGAGCCCTGTCCCTCCAGAGGCTGGGGAGCAGCGCAGGAGGGGAGGGCCCCAAAGGGACAGGGAGAGAAGCCACCTCAGGCCCCAAGTGCCACAAGAGCACAGGTAGCCCAGGACCTCCCCCACCAGCACCCTCACCCCCACGCACCCACATCTCAAAACAGCGCTCCCCAGAAGCAGAGACAGACACCCGGCGTGCCACAGGGCTTTTTTTTTTTTTAATGTTTCCTCACTGTTTTAACAATACCATGAAAAAAATACACAGTTTAGAATCTGGAACTGACCACTGGGTCTGCATGGGTTTCAAGGGTAGCTGGCTGGGGCTGCACGGCCCCTTCTCATTCCTCCCCTAGCAGAAGCCGGGCTACTGGAAACAGCACCGACGGGACACCGGAATCAGGAACTAAGTTAGTGTCTGGATCAGGACCTGAAAAAACACGGCCGACTAGAGCAGCTATGCCTGCCAGCCCCGGCCTGGGTCCTGTGGTACTTCTGTCTGTCCCCTCCCCACACTGGCTACAAGGGGACAGAAGGTGGGTTAGCTTATTCCCAGGACAGGAAAATCATCATCCGTTAACCCTGGGCCACACACCCAAGCTCCCACTCAATCCCCTGGGGCAGGGTTATAAGGGCCAGAGTGAAATTCGAATTTCAAAAGAACCAATCATTTTTTGCTAGCATACGTATGTTCCAAACGTGGCACAGGACATACTTACACTAAAAAATTATCCTCTGATCACTTCTTGGCCTTTTGGCTAAGATCAAGTGTAGTAAAATATTATCCTCTCTATGCCTGATATTCTAATTTATCTCAGCCTTCTAGTTTTGTTCTGTTGCTAAATCTGGCAACTCTATACCCTCAGGGCCCTCAGGAGTGGGGGAGGGGGTCCTGCTGGCAGAAAAGGCCTGAAGGAAGAGGAAGTTTGTGTGTGTGTGTGTGTGTGTGTGTATGGGAGGGGAGTAATCCAGTCAAAAAAAGCTTTTTATCCCTCCATAGGAATGATATATTATTTTTTTAAAAAAATCATTTCCCAGAAATTTTCTACACTGGCTGCCTTCAATTGTTAGTAGCTATGGGGTGGGAGGAGGGACAGACATGCACAGACACCCACCCCACACAGTTCTAAATAAAGTTTGGAAGCACTTAGTATAAAGGTTTTCTAAAAGGATCTGATTTTCCTTAGGCGGCAGACCTATTAACACTGTTCCAGATACCGCTCTGGAAGGATTTAAACATGACAAGAAGAACAAACAAATCAACAGGGACCGAGCGAGTGAGTGCCCAGCCTGTTCCTAGTGTCATCCTGGAAAGAGCCCCTTCTAGAAAATTCAAGAAGCCCAGGGCCTCCTTTCGTTCCCCATCCCGTTATCGTCCCCTGGAAGGGGCTGCGTTTAGTGCACACATCCGGTCCGCCTTTGCTCCGAGGGGCTCCAGGCTTCTGGTGCAGGAGCTGGGGATGAGGGATGGAGGGGGCCGGGGGCCGTGACCACCCTTCCTCCTGCCACACGCCACCAGTCGCAGCAGAAACGCCAGGAGAGGAAAGGTGAGCCAAGCGTCCTTAGCCGTGGCCCCGGGCTGGTCCTGCGGCGGCCGCACCAGGCAGGAACTTGGCCGGCGGCTGGCATCCACCTGAGGCCGGGGCGGGGGGGCGGGGGGAGGGACGGCCGGTTCCTGTCCCGCAGCGCTCAGCGGGGCTGCGTGCACCCTGCAGCCCCCCGCCAGCTCCCCGCGCCCGGGAGAGTCCAGGGTCTGCGGCCGAAGCCGGGCTCTTGGCTGCCGTGCACGGGGAGGGGGCAGGGAAGGGGGCGGCGGCCCCGGGGGGCAGGGAGGAGGCGGAGCCCTGCCGGGAGCCCCTCACTCACACTCGGATCTCCTCATCCTCCTCCTCGTCCATGAAGGAGAACTCCTTGTCGGGCTGCCGGGCCAGTGGGGCCCGGGCCCTCTCGGGGCCCCGGGAGGCCGGGCTGCGCTCGTCCAGGACGCCCGAGGTGCAGCTGGACAGGGAGCTGCTGTCCCGCGGAGTGTGGCTGCCCTCGCTGCAGGCCGAGGCCGGGCTGGGGGCCGCCGCCCACCCCTCGTCCTGGGGCAGGTCCCGGCCGGCCGCGCCCTCCTGCGTGGCCCGGGGAGGGGCCGCCGCAGCCGCCAGGGGAGCCAGCAGGGTGCCGCCGCCGGCCTTGGCCCCGTCGTCATGGTAACCGCCACCCTCCTCCTCCTCCGGTTCCCACGCCTCCTTGTCCATGATGCTGAGGACGTCGCCCAGCATGGACGGCCCCAGGTCAATGTGGAAGGACATGATGGACTCGGCGTGCTTGAGCCCCAAGCCGGCCTTGGGCACGACGGGCAGCTCTGTCAGGTCCCCGAAGGCCTGCTCGTCCAGGAGAGGGTCCGGGGAGTGGGGGGCGGTGGCCCCATTCCGCCGAGGCCCAAGCTCCCCCTCGCCCACCTCCTCCTGGCTGCCCTCCCCGGCGCTCGCCTTCTTCACGGGGCTGGACGACAGGCTCTTGGGCAGCTTGCCAGAGCCCTTCTCGGCCGCCTCCTTCTCGTTCAGCTGGGGCAGGGACATGGCGTTCTTGACGAACAGAGCCGAGTCCCGCAGGGAGCCCAGCATGTCCCTCTGCTCCCGGTCCCCCCGGGTCACCGACTGCGACCGCTTGCTGCCCCGGAACTTCCGGGACAGGAGGCTGCGTTTGGAGGACGAGGTGGAGGCCTGCTCATCCAGGGACTCACCGTCCAGCTCGCCGGCCTTGCTGTTGAGGAAGGAGGTGTCCCCAAAGGCGTCCCCCGCCCGGCCCACGTGCATGGTGTGCCGGAAGTCGCCCAGGGGGGCGCTGATCATCTCAGCCGTGAGGTCCACACGGGAGCGGCGCTTGGAGTGCACCGAGCTGGACACGAGCTGCTTGAGGATAGGCATCGTGCTGGGGGGCGGGCCTCCCGAGGGCGGCAGGCGGGTCGGGGGTCAGATCTGAAGTCCGGCGGGTGGAGGGGGTGACAAGGAGGAGATCATAGGGCTGCAAAGAGAGAAGAGCAGGCAAAGGGTTAACCTGGGCTGGCCGCACAGCACCAAAGCCCACCGGCCTAGGGGCTGCTACTCAAACCTCAGCTCTCCCACCAAAACGAACTACCATAAGCCGGCAATCAGTGTCATAACCCTGCCTCCTCCTTCACGCCCAGGCACTCGGGTTAGGGGAGCGCTTTTTACAAATCCGGGTAGAGGTCAGACACGCTCTCCCTGAACCCGGGAGAAGGACGCCATCTCCCCCCAACCAAGATGCTGCCAGAGCAAACACAACCACACTGAAGGATGTGGAGGTACACAAGTGAGTCCACGCGGCAGTTCAGGATTGGACACATGCTGTAAGTTCTTCCTGCTGTCTGACCTCAATCTCTGAAGCCAGTGGACACCTCAACCTGAGTCACAGCCCTCAGAGGAGGGAGCCAACAGGACGGGCCCCAGAGACGCTGCCCAGCACCTCCACAGATGTGGGCGGCCAGGCTCACTTTCTGAATCAGAATTGGGGTGGGGTTGCTGGGACCCACAGAACCAGCTCCCCAGCCTTCCAGTCCTTGCTGGGTGTCCCATAAATGAGGACCCCGCCTGTGACCTCTCTACTATGGGGCCAAGCTCTTTGCCGAAGACTCACTCTGTGCCTCTTGGGGATGAAGAGAACTGCCTCCTGATTTCTTTAATCATTAAGGGTGTGGGAAGGCAGGGACTAGGTGGTCTGGCCCCCGAGATCTGCAGACCCAGGTGGGGGGGGGTGGTTAACCAGAACAGATCAGCAGAGGGGACGCCAGGAGAGCCTGGGCCGTCTGAAAGCTCGAGGTACCACCCACACAGCTCCTGGCAAGCACCGAAATGAGGTCCCATGTTGGAGCCAAACCATCCCCTTCCCCTTCCCCTCCCGGAGCGGCCTGTCCCAAATGCTAAACCCAGTAGTGCAGGGCTGAGCAGGGTGGGGAGACATGGTGTCGGCCACCAGTCTTGCTAACGATTCTCAACTCTACCTTCACGGCAGGGCCACCCTTCCCACTGCAAAGCACAACCTATGGGAACCCCATTGGTTTCTTCCTCACCCCTAAGGCTGCCTCCCACTAGCCCACCACATCCCACCTGGCCCCTGACACCAGCCCAGCAGATCCCCATTTTTCCCCTTCTGTCCCTCTCCGGACCATCCATCACCTTTTATCTAAAACAAAACCCATCCAGGACTCCCCAGGGCAGACCCCTGGATCTGGCCACCAGTCCAAGCCTCCCTCCCTCCCTCCTCAATGCCATTCCTTGCTGCCCCCCTACCTCTGCACTCCACCCCAGCCCCTGAGCGTCTGCCTTTTGGACTCCAGGACTGGACAAATGCAGGTCCCTGCTAGAGTACCCTGTCACCTGGCTCACCCAACGTCCTTCCGAGCTCAGTGGAGACGTCACTTCTGGGAAACGCCCTCTCGGCCACCCAGCACTCCGGATGCCCCCTCTCTCGCAGGCACCGCTCCCTCCTTCTATTCCTACCCACGGGGCTGTAATCTGCCCACTGGACTCTGAGCTTCCAGAGGGGGTTCCAAGGGACCTGCTCACCGCTGAAGCCCGTCTAGCAGACCCTGTTGAAAGGCAGCACCTCCATCCCGCCCTCCGGGCTTCACTTCAGCCTACACACCGCTCTGGGGTTCCTGGCCCAACCTCTCTGTGTCCTCCACCGCCCCCCCCGCCCCCGCAGCCCCAGTGCTTTCACCACTTGTCCAGCTGCCGACGCCCAGTCTGATGGCTCCCAACCCCGTGCCAGCCCCAGGCAGTCCTACGCTCGTCACTGCGGCAAACAAAGTCCTGTAGGACGTGAGGTGGGAGCCAGGCACCGGGGCAGACCTGCCACACCGGTGACCTGGGCTGGCCTCCGAGCCAGGGGAGGACTCTCCTGGATGGCCTTGGGATGACCCACTATGGCCGCTCGGCCCTCCCTCCTCATATTCGTCTTTCTCCCCACCAAACCCTCAGGCCACTTAGCTTCCCTTACCCCTAACCTGAATCCTCCCTCCAGCCCACGTCCTGGGATCTCACCTCTATTAAACAGTTAGACATGCATCAGCTAGACCAATTGGCCAGCATTTTCTATAAAGGGCCGGAGACTCAAGATTTTTGGCTTCGTGGAAGATACCGTCTTTGTAGTTAGTAGGAAAGCAGCAACAGACCCTACGTAAACAAAGGGTATGGCTGTGTCCCAGTAAAACTTTATATATAAAAACAAGTTGTGGGCCACATTTGGCCCATGGGCAATAGTCTGCTGACTCTTACACTCATGGAAACTACTGGCCTCAGGCTCATCCCCGTGCCACTGCTCAGAAGAGGGTCACCCTATGGAACCATGAGCTCACAGGCCAACTTTTGGGGGAAAACTTTCTTTGGCTAAAAAAGACAAAGGGAGTCTGCAGTTGGCCTCAGACTTGTTAGGAACAGAAGAAAACCAAACCAGGTTTCTAACGACATCTTGATACTAGGGAATCCCTCAGGCTTCTGCGGGCACCAGGCAAGAATGGAAAGGGCTCATGTCTTCAACCTGCTTGTGGTCTAGCGCCTGCCTCTGGTCACAGAGTCCTGGGATCTCAAAGAGCTGGGAGGAAAGGGACACCCAGGGTAGCCCCAGAAAACAGGTATACTGAGGCAAAGTGACTCATCCAGGTCTGTGCCCCAAAGGGCAGAGCTGGGCGAGAAGCTGGTCTTCTCCCAGTCCAGTGCTCTCTCTACTCTGCTCCAGACCTTTCTCTGGCCTTTGGTGGGTAGCGTCCCTCATCAGTTCCCATGACCAACAGAACGCCCCTCCCTGCTTCCGGGCCAGGGGAGAAAAGGAGGAGCCTGGCTGCTTCCTCAAATGTCTCCAGGCCGGCCAAACGTCCCCTTGCGGGGGGCGGGGGCGCGCGCAAAACTGCCCTGGGTCGAGAACACAGCTATAAAACTAAAGCTTATGCTATTTACCAGGTAAACAAAAAAAAAAAAAAAAAAAAGAGGGGAGGCAGGGCAGGGGGCATAAAGGGCTAGAATCGTGGGAACACACGACATGAATTTCCAGAGCTGCGTTAAGGGTTCTGATGTAACAGCAGGAATCCCCAGACCCACTGAGCAGCTTCCATCCAGCACTGTCGTTTCCCAATCTGAAGTGCGCCTCATAGAGCAGGGAAAGAAGAACCACAGACCCAGCTGCCAGGGCCTCAGCAGACCTGGTGAAGAGCCCTGTGGCCACTCACAGGGACCTGGCACTCTGGCCATCATGACTACGGGACAGAAGGGTCCCATCAGCCCCCACTTCTATCCTGGCGGGTAAAACAGGAGAAGAGGTAAGAGAGGCCAGCAGGGAAATCCACAGGCCAGCCCCCAGGGCCCCAGTACCCCTGGCTCAGTCCTACACCCTAGAAAGAAAGCAGAAGTCTGGCCAATGCTATCTGCTGCTTGTGGTCTCACTCCCTGGGGGTGGGAATGAGGCTTTCTGGCTTATAAAAAAACCAAACCATCTCTAATACCCAGCATGAAAAAGTCTCGAGAGAGTTGGGGCCTGTATGGAGTCACCTACCCATCTCAGTTGTCCAGCAAGGAGTCCTGGAGCCCCGCCAAGGTCTGGGTCTCTGGAATCCTAGCGCTCAGACCAGATGGGGCAGGCTTCAGGGCTGGTGAGAACCCTAAGCTTTGAACACAGAACAATGTGGGGGTGATAAATACCAAGATTAAGGACCAGCAGGTGGCCCGGGGCCAGTCCTGGGGACAGATCAGGAGGCCTAAGAGCCCACCAGGAAGGGGATCGTGCCAAAGAGAGCTATGTCTTTGGCAGGGGGTGTTGCTAAGTGCAATGACTCAGCTCTGGGCAAGTGGCTAAAATAGGCTGCCCGATGACAGGGCAGCCACTCCCCACCCCACCCCGGAAAGCCATATCCCACTTTCCTGGCAGAGCAAAGGAAAACCGAGCAGGAACTCATGGCTCTCCCTCACTCTACCCAGCCTCTGATGGAACTGGACTCCTCTACCCTTGACCCCACCAACCACAGAACATTCCTTTAAGGCAGGCGCAGCGAGCCCTCCCTGGAAGGCCAGGCCCCTGGTTGGTGGAGCCCGACCACACCCTCAGCTCCGCTCTGTTCCTGGGACTCCAGAGAACAGCCCTTGCCTGGACCCCTCACCCATGCTCACTGGCATCCCGCACACAGAGCACCGGCCTCCCAGATCAGCCAGTCCAGCAGCAGCTAGATGGACAGAAGGACAGGCTGGACGAAAGCACTCCCAAAGCCCCAGGAAGTGGCCGGTGGCTGGCAGCCTGACCAAGGCAGGAGATAGAACCGGGCTCTCCCGGGGCAGGGCAGGCTTCCCACTTTTGCAGCTGACCTGCAGCTCACCCTGCTTCAGACGACGCACGCTTCAACGCTCCCCTGCATGGCCGCTGGGGAGCTGCTCCTCCGTCAGCTCTGCTGAGCTGTTCTAACACCCAAGCAACGTGGCCGAACAGAAGGGGTATGTGGTGAAGGACAACCTCAGTCATGGCTGGGAATGGCTACAGGAGGCTTTGTTCATTTACTCATTCATTCATCGACTTCCTGCATACCCACCAATTTTTCCATACTCTTTTAGGTCCTGAAGACAGGGGGCCAGTGAGAATCACCAGGTGGATCAGCCCCCTGCCTTCCTGGGGCACATCTGTAGTGTGAATGTGGGTGCGAGGAAGGGGCTCTGCGAGCCAAGAACTGGATGATGCGGAGGAACCAGGCAGGTCAAGGGCAATCCAGCGAGGGGCCAGCACATGTGAACACCCAGAGGTGGGAAGAAGCGGGTGGAGTTTGAGGAACAGAATGATAACCCAGGGGCTGGGGGCCAGGTCCCATAGGCCCTCCCTGGAAGACAAGGTAGGCGTTCAGACGGCATTCTAGGTACGAAAGGAAATCAACAGCAGCTCCTGAGCAGGGAAGTCATCCAATCTGTGCGTCTGGAGGTTTCCATAGCAGCTGGGGTTGCAGCCATGGACGACGGCAAGCAGGTGCTCAG